CAATACGAGAAGTTCTTGATAAGTTCAATATAAATTTTGAGATTACGATTACAATTTCCTAATTAATTTAATATTTGACGAGTTGTTTAAGACCATAACATATCTGAGTTGATAAATATTACTTCGAATCAACTAATTTAGAATATTTGTTTATATAATCAGTATATTTTGTTAATTTTGTCGACAACATCTCAATTTGATTGCACCTTAAGTTGTGCACATGTTTGTCTTGACAGTATTACCAGAACCTGCCTTTAACCCTGAGATAATTCGACAATTCTGTTTAAATATTTAAATTTTTTTCAATTTAATAAAAAAACAAATTATTATAAAATTTAGTAATGTTGTTTTCATTAAAATAATTCTTCTCAAAAGAAGAGGGACTATTTGCAGTCCATTTGGAAAAACATTACAATTTGGCGCCCAACGTGGGGCAGGTTTTAAAAAAAAACTATCAAAAAGGCAGGTTTAAAAAAAAAAAAACTATCAAAAAAGGCAATTAAAAAAAAAATGGCAGAAAGAACGACGAGATCAAGATCTGTCTCTAAAAGTAGAAAAGAAGAGAACACAGACCTAAATATACAATCAACCACGACAGCTACTACAAGCAGTGGTGATAAAAAAGAAACGGTTGAAGGAAGACAAGTAACGATGAAGGAAATGATGGAATTCATGATTACAAGAGATGAAAGAATACAAAAAATGAATGAAGATATCATGAAAAAATGAATGAAGAAATCAGAATGAGAGATGAACAAAACCAAATTAAAAGAGATGAAGATATCAGAAAATTGAATGAAGAAAATAGAAACTTAATGATCGAAAGCTTCAACATTTATAAAAAAGAAAATGAACTAATAATAAAACAACATCGGGAAGAAATGGAAAAACAACTCAACAAAAAATTAGATGATATATCAGAAATATTAGATGGGAAAATAACCCAACAAGTTAACAAAAATCTTGAGACCATACGTCAAGAAACTAATTCCCAAATAATTACAACTATAGAACAACAAACACATGGATATTCGGAACAGATAAAAAACAATATGCACAACATACAAGAGGTAAAACAACAAACTAACTATAATTTTAAACAAGTAAGTGAACAACAAACTAGAATGAATCAAGAAATCATTAGTAACTGTGAGTTAAATAAACAAAATTCCGAAAATATAGAACATTTAAAAATTAAAGAATATGAAGATTATGAAAACGTAAAAAAATTAATAAATGAAATTAAAACAACCAGAAATAACGTTATTAACGTAGATTCACCATCCACCATACCATATTTAAAGCCTGAGATGTGGCCAAAATTTAACGGTTATCATTATAAAATCCATCCCATGACCTACTTGCAAAACATACAGAAACTTACCCAAGATTTACAAGATGAGAAAACCGTTATGAATCTAGTAAGACTTACACTCAATGACAGAGCATTAGAATGGTTCGAAATGGTAAGTGAGAAATGTTCGACTTTTCAAGATTTTAGTCGAGAATTTATCAATCAATTTTGGAATCGAAGCCAACAAGACCAACTAAGAGTCGAATTATTAGCGGGAACGTACAAAGACAATAGTGGTAGTAGAGAAAATTATGCCTGTAAACTTTATAATAAATGCAAATACATCGATGGACTTGATGAAAATACTATCGCAATGTACTTATTAAGTCATTTCAGAACAACCGATAACAACTCTGTATTGTGTCAAACTGTTAGAAACATGAATGAACTTATTGAAATCTTACGAAGGTTAGACACCTATAATAATTTAACCAAACTAAATCCTAATAATAATAATAACAACAATAAAAACTACCAATATTACAGAGACTACAACTATTCTAAACCTAAAAACTACAATAACGTTACACATAATATTTACAATCATCCTAAAAATGGTCAGGATAATAATCACTATCCCAAACATGATAACTTCAATAAAAATTATAGCAACAATACGAACCAACGCAACCATTTCCAAAATCGAGATTACCGGTCAGGAAATAATAAATTCGGAAATGAAAGATTCCATAATCCATATAATCATAATAATAATAATGGCCCAAATTCATATCCTCAGAGATGGATAAATAATAATTCTAACCCATTAAAATTTACGCCACCTAGAAGAGAATACGAGAAATACTTAAATATGATCACCACCACTAATGAAGAAAGAGATTGGAATAGAAAATCCAATACATTTTCACCCCGATTGACAACTATAGCTGAAATTCACAGACCCTCCGAGGATATTAGTTATGAGGAGACGGAAAAAAAAAACCTCGATGAAACACAAGAAATAATAATAAAAGCACTAAACTACTTCAATATTAATCATAATAATAATAAAAAATTCTATGATAATCCACATAATTTTTTAGATTTTTATAATGAGAAATTACCAACAACTTATAATATTATACCAACTATAAAAATTAAGATTCAAAATTTAACCATTAGAGCTATATTAGATACTGCAGCAGAAATTTCACTTTTAAATACATCGGTAGCAACTAAGATAACTAATTTAAATAACATTATAGAGAAAATTAAGAAAATAGAAATTTTATCAGCAAATAAAAAGAAAATGGGTACAATTGACAAGAAAATATTTACAACGGTTGATATAAATGGGAAAGGTTATTTAATGGAATTTTATTTATATGAAGGAATGTCTTTTGAATGTCTAATTGGCATAGATAACATTGTTAAGCATGAAATGATCCTGAATTTTGAGAATAAAAAATTAGTAATGGATAAAGAATTAATAAATTTTGAAAAGGAAATCATCTATGAAAATTTTGTAATAGAAAATACTATTGAAGGGATAGAACAACAGAAAGGAGAAGAAAAGAAAATAGATAGTGAAAGAGAAGGATTAATTAATTGTACAAATAAAAAATTTGAAAATAATTATGATTCTGATGATAATATCATGAATGATTATCACAGAGATAATTTAATAAAAAAATAATGTTGAAAGGGATAACTCAGAAGAAGTTATTACTGAAAAAAATAAAAGTATTAAAATAAATAGACTGATAGATTTGTTAGATTTGAAAAGTGAGTATCGAGAAAGATTAAAAGAAATTCTATTACAAAACTCTGTTACATTCAACGATCAGATCACATTCGCTAGAAATTACCAACATAAAATTTTAATTGATAATGAAGAACCATTAAAATGTAAGAATTACCCTATACCTTTCCATTATACAGATCAAGTTAATAATGAAATTGAAAAAATGATAAAGTTCTAATTAAAAATAGAAGAATTTCTGATAAACAAAGAAAGATAGTTGCCAAATTAATAAAATCATATTCTGGTCCATACATTGTTGTAGAGAAATATAACGACACTTATACGCTACTAAACCCTGAAACTAATGCTATAAAAGGCAGATATCACCTAAATTTAATTGTTCCTTTTATTGAAACCAAAGAATCGTAATAATTTAATATATTTTTTTAACGATAATAAATGTTATAATTTAATTAATCAAGTTAGAATAATTTAGATTGAAAAATTAACCTTCGTAAACTCGGAAATTTATTCAATTTTAATTGCGGGGAAAATGTAATAATAACCGATTACCAGAACCTGCCTTTAACCTTGAGATAATTCGACAATTCTGTTTAAATATTTAAATTTTTTTCAATTTAATAAAAAACAAATTATTATAAAATTTAGTAATGTTGTTTTCATTAAAATAATTCTTTTCAAAAGAAGAGGGACTATTTGCGATCCATTTGGAAAAACATTACAATATTTATAAAAAACATTTTTTTGTAGTTTTCCGAAAGTTCCAAATGTATTTCCTTCCTTTATTGTCAGACGTGTGCTTTATTTGTTATGTTATGCCACATGATATATTTTTTGCTATATCTTCTCTATCTATTTGTGTCCAAAATGTAAACCATTCTTGCATAAATGAAATTTCACATTTGCCAGCAGTGAAGTTGATTTAGCTCTTTTAACACGTAATTTAGTAGTGGATAACTTACTTTGGAATTGTATAATACAGCAAGTTGTCGAGTCCTTCTTGATTTTCTTAAATATATTTTTGTCTCTAGTGTTTCAAGAATTTAATAATGTAATACCAAAGTCAGAATGAAAGAATAATACTTTTTGCATATTCAAGATTAAAGCCAAGATAGGACTTATTTACTAGATAAACTTTTATTTACTATTGTATCTTTTCATCCTCACTTTTCTCTCTTCCACGAAAGCGTTATAAGTTTAATACAAGAATCGCGTTCACAGTGAGAGAAATTCGAATTAGGTAGAAAGCAAATTGATTATGGTCGGATAATGAATCTGATGTCTTACTCATGATATTTTGTAGTGTTTCAATCACTTTCCCTGCTGGTATCTTCAGTGCCATTCATACTTCTTCAAACGTGGTTGTGTTGATTTCTCCTACATCATCTTTGTTCACATTGACATTTTCTTAGTGTGGACCACATTGAGATTCGATGGCGTTAACAAAGGTTTCAGCCTTGTTCTCTGTAGTAAGGCAAAAAAGCGTTCTCCGATTGTTTAGTATTTGATGATTTTCCTAAAGGCTCATTGAGTTTCGCCAAGCATTTGATGTTTCGTCCCAACGAGGGTTGTTTAGATCTGCAATATGAGTAGATGTAGATATATTTGACATTGTGAGAGGGATCTGGCGTTCACTGACAGCACNCTGGTTCAGTTTTAAAAGGGATTGTGACAGTGTATGTACCGTCATCATTTCTCTTTGTGTTGTTTTGGTAATGATCTTCACAATCGGCATCTTCTTTCGTTTGAATTCTTGGAACTAAAACTTCTTCAATTTCCCAGAACTTCTTTAATTGAGCGTCTTCTTCGACTCGATTTATCATGCTTATAATTGTGGTAGCTGGTTTCTCTTTCATTGTTCCTGATAAAATCCATCCAAACTCCGTCTTCTGTCCCAATAATCCATGTTCAGCTTTATGAATCCCGTCTTGAATGATTTTTCCATATTCTTCTGCTCCGATGATAGCATCTATGGGACCAGGAATATTGGAGGTGGGATCAGCTAGGATTTTGTTGTTCCAGTGTTCGTCTGAGGAAATTGGTAGATTCTTATTTGGTAATGATTGCGTTAGCTTAGATAGAATAAGGAAAGTGGTATTGAGGGTAAAGTTACTCGGAAAATGAGGTTGAACGTTTAGGTCCACTTTCCATTTTGATATCTTTGGTGAGCCGTCTTCCAGCCCAGATATTTTGGCATGTATTTTTTGCCTTGGATGAGCGAGTAAGTTCGCTGCTTCTTCCGTGATGAAGGAGGCTTGGGATCCTGGATCGATAAGTATTCGGAGTTTTTCGGAACTTCCGGAAACTGTCTTGACTTTCACCAGGGCTGTTGCTAGAAGAACTTCACTTTCTAGTCCGCTTGACGCAGTCCTGTTTTTTGTTTCTTTTTTGGTAGAAACTAGGATTACATTTTTTGTAGATTTTGTGCTTTGGTTAATCTGCTTGTTCTCATCTCTATGAAGCAACGTATGATGTGGTTTTTGGCAGATGTGACATCTTGACGTTGAGTGCACATGTTGCTTTTGTCGTGAGATAAACAATTTCTGCACAATTTTTGAGCTTTGATGTACTCTGTCCTTTCTGCAACTGTAAATTTTTTGAATTTCATGCAGAAGTGTATTATGTGGTTTTCACTACAATATCTGCACTTATTCTTATTGTAAGCTTCTTTTGCTTGCATTGGATTGTTTCGCTTTTTTGGTTCAGCGATTGCTTCTAGTGTTTGGAAGCGAGTTCTGAGAAACTTAATAAATCTTGGAAGTTTTGTATTTTATGTGGTTCTTTCAACGACAGTTCGTATTGCTTGTTCGTCTCATAGTCCCATTTTCTGACAAGTATTCTTCCTATGATAGGACCCCAAGATTCCGTTGGAATTCCCAGGTTCGATATGGCTTGGAGACACTCGACTGTTGTGTCGTGTAATTCCTTTATCCTTTCCCCGTTTTCAGTCGTAGTTGCTGGCAGATCCAAAATCTTGTCCAGTAGTTTTGATAGAATTAATCGGTTGTTTTGGTAACGTTTTTGTAGAAGTGTCCACGCTGCATCATAATTACTATCGGATATTTGCAGGTGTTGGATTATTCGACTAGCTTCTCCTTTCAAGTACGTCTTCAAATATTGCATTTTTTCGACTTTTGTTAGGGATATACTAGCATGGATTATTTTTTGGAAAAGGTCATAGAAGGTGATCCATTGGTCATAGGATCCATCGAATACGGGAAGTTTTATTTGTGGAAGAGGTATAGCAGTGTTGTTCTGAGGGATATGTCGTGTTTCAGAGGAAGGTGGGTTAGAAATGATGTCTTCTAGTTCTTCCATTACGGCAAAAAATTCCGTCTGAAGGTTGGAATATACATCTTCTTCGAAGTATCGGGCTTGAAATCTTGTTTCTTCTACCTGGATATCTTCTTCCAATCTTGAGATGCTGTCCATTTGTTGTTGAAGTTGACGTCGAAGATATTCATAAGTGCTTTTTTGTTTAGATTGCACCATTTCCAGTTTTACTTTGTCGATTAGTTTACCCATTTCTTTGATTCTTATTTCCTGCCGTCAAAT